ATCAGTCCTAATCACAACTTAATGAATGCATTAAAGATTAAACCCATGTACCGTCTTTATTAATGGATTTCCAGTCCCTAACAGGACACCCAGCTCCTCCACCCAACTCTACAGCTTTGAACACATGTCTTCCAAGTACATTTCACACTCATTTTCCTTTCCAGAAAGGTGTGCTTCATTTTGTTTACCTTGAAAATGCTGTCTTCTTTTTACGAGGCTACCAAAGCGCTCTGGGCCATTTGAAGCCATTTTTATGTTCCTCTTTGGTCTGGTAATGAGGCCAGTGCTGATGGAGGCAGAGAAAGAGCTGTTGCCAGGCGCCTGCCGCGCTCTGTGTGCGTCTGTGGAATGAGGTCGTCTGTGCTCATGTATGTATGCATGTGTGTCCGTGTTTCCTTTAGGAGAAATTGTGTGTCGCACTTTTGTATGAACTCTGCGTAACCGGGCTTTGCTAAGTGTGTATTACGTTGTCTTTCATCTGTTATTGATGCTAGAAGGTAAACACGGACACCTAAACACACACACACACACACACACACACACACACACACTTTGTGATGGCGCCTGTCAGTCTCTGCCCCTAATCCTTCCTTAAAGGACAATTGTGGTTTATTACAAGTTGAGTTTTATTTAGTTTTTATCATTTCTCACTTTACTCACCCAGTTAATAGGAACGTGGTGACTTTTCGAAAAAGCAGCAACACAACGATCAGAAACAAACCTCCAGGTTAGACAAACTCATTTATTGGAAGAGAAAATGACGACAGAGTAAAATTATGACCCAGACTCTCAGACCCACTCCCTGCTTCAACTTTGAACTGCCGTACTTACTGTGGTAGTGCACACTCTGTGGGTAGCCCTCCTCTCTTTGTCTTGTCATCCCTACTTCTTCTAGTTTGCTTAAGCTAGTGTTACTTAACGTTCTTTTTGTTGCTAGGCGACATCTAGTGGCTGTAGAAATTATGACAGGTGCAAAGGGAAAAGTATAGTGACATAGTAGACAAAGTCTACTAGGAGGAGGTGGTGGTGGATGGATGAATATGACACAGGAGAGCGGTGTTTGATTCCCATGTGAAAGTAGCAGTTTATATTGTTTCTATTATCCATGACCATTTGACAAAGTTAACCAGGTTGTTATTATTGTAACCACGACAACTAAAATCGTCTAATGTTGAGGAAGTACTAATTTTAACCGAAATCATGATCTTTTCCTAAACCTAACCAAGCCATGGCCGTTTATTGTTGTAACTATGCCGACAAAGCTCCGGCTCCACTGTTGGTACAGTCTTCATGTTTGTTATTGCAACCATGGCAACTGAGGCCTGCCGCCGTAGGGGCAGTATTTCAGGGGACAGTCCTCTGGGTCGTATCAGAGGGTTGAAAAAAGTGACCTGTATGGTTGTTGTGGTTGGAGGAGTTGTTGACTACAAGGGCAGTGACTGCACATGCACGCCTCCAAGCCGACTAGAAAGAAGTTTAATAATAACAACAACTGCGTTCGCGTGTATAACGGCCTTACTCTTTATGTGAGTTCAGCCTCTCAAAGCTTTATTTCAAAAGCTCAGTTTTAGCTGTAAGATTTATGACTTAAAACACTGGCTCCAAATTGAATTCAAAATCAATCACACAACTTTTAAGTAGTGTTTAGATAATATTGTGTTTTATTGCCCGTCAAGACTCACAAAACTTAAAACTAGAAGATGTGGACAGAAATTGAAGAATGATCCTGTAAATGTGGTCTTGCATCTGAAATTCATCCAAGAAGTAACTGGATAGTTAAAAGAGTAATTCGACATTTCCAGAGCAGCCACCGTGTTTTTTTGGTCTTACAACAAACAAAGTTATGTTTACATTCAACAGGGACTCACTCTTAGAAACATTGTTCCCTTAGCCCTGCTAGTGGTCAAGAACTCCACAGGGCACCTTTAAGTCTACCAGGACCTCGCCAGACCACAAAGAGACAATCTAAATCCCGGTCTGCCTTTGCCAGCTGAGAACAAGATATTTTCCCCGTAAAATCCAACCAGACACTGAGTGTTGGGAACGGCAAATGGAAAAGCTTTAATGAACTGAACATTGGTTAAAATGCCACAGTGTTATTACACATGTCAACCATTAGTTCATACCAAAATGCTGCAGAATATTACTTTAACCGTGAAACACATTCACAAGCCCTGAATATGGGCCAACTGTAACAGCTTCCCTCCCTGCAAATAATAAACATGTTGTTCCAGTAATGACAGTGAATTATAGCGCACTGCCCGGTGTTGAGTCATTACATTAATTATAGCTCATCAGCTACTGTCACCACAGCGACACCCTGATAAAGACATACAGGGGAAATATGCTAGCTGGGGGGAAAAACGGGTCGTGTATTTATATTATTGTTCATTCGTTTGCATTTTGAACACTTGAGCTGACACAGAATTACTTCTTTTACTGATTGCTGTTACTCCCCGTCTCTCTGAAATTCAAACAGGCGTAATGTGTGAATGATTAGCTGCTTTGTTTTGTGCAGAAATAAAAGTAAAAACATGGAAATGTGTGCTCATCTCCTTGCAGATGATAAACATATTTTGACAGTAATGACATGGAAATTTAGGCTGCTACCTGGTGCTGGGTGATTAGATTAATTATAGCTGATTATTAGTGATAGATCTGCTTCTGTCCTGGCTGGCACTTCTGCTGTTGAAGGACTCAGTGGGCCACAAGAGTTGCACAAAGCTGTATTCATTTGCCCTGATCACAATATGTTGTTCAACAGATTTAGAACCGTCAGAATCGGGAGAAGAGGGAGAGAAAGAGAGAGAGAGAGACAGAGAGAGAGAGAGAGAGAGAGAGAGAGCGGGATAGACGATGTACGTGAACATTCCATTCTTCTGGTTTCAGTATTTCCAATAGATGTTGAACCTGCTGCACGGATTTGCTCCAATTCAGGCACAAGAGCATTGATATTGGGTGATGAGGTCGGGCTCACAGTCCCGTTCATCCCAGAGGTGTTGGACTGGGTTGAGACCAGGACTGTGTGCAGCAGGCCAGTCCAGTTCTTCCACAACAAACTGGGAGAACCATTTTTTTTTTTTGGAGCTGGCTTTGAGCACAAGGGTGTTGTCATGTTGAGATAGGAAACACAAATTGTTGAGAGGCACACTGTCATCTGAAGTATTATTGTATGCTTTAGCATTACGATATCACTTTATTGAAAGTAAGGAGCCCAGGAAGAAACAGACCCACACCAATCGCACACTAGTTTATATAAACAGAGGTGTCCATACACATTTGGCCTTATTTTGTATATTGCAATCTGCAAACACTTGTTAGTTGATTCAATACATTTTCTTAAATTAAACAATTTTAATGTGCACCGAGGTATCTGTCCACATACTTTTGGCCACATTGTGTACTGTAGCAGAGAAACAGAATGGGGAAAAACATGAATAGGAAGAGAGATATATGCAAAGACAGAGAAAGAAAGGAGAGGAAAGAAAGAAACAAGGGAAAATTAGACTTAAGGAAGGATTAATAAAGCGAGGAGAAAGAGAGATTGAGAAAATGGGAAGAATAGAAGGAGGGATATACAGAGGAGGGAGGTAAAGAGACAGGTGAAAAGGTGGGAAGTAGGAGTGAGGGAGAAATGTTTGAAGAAGAGGATAGAAGAGAGAAAGAGGCTAAAAGAGAGATAGGGAGGTATGAAGGGAAAAAAGTGAAAGACGAAAGTAGAGAAGGACAAAGGAAAAGAGGCAAAGGGAGAGAGAAAGGAAGGGGGGGGGTTAGATTTTGACTGGGCATAATCCTCAACCCTCCACACCTCTTTTGAACCACATGCCATCCATGATTACTGAATTCCTGCTTTTTCACTCGGCTGATCACTGCGATGATTTGCTGACATTCTGTCAAACACATTCCCTCTGTCTGTGTGTGTGTGTGTGTGTGTGTGTGTGCGGCTCTCCCCCTCCCTTCTGAAGGCCTGTGAATCTACAGTACATGTGGGCCCGAGCTCAGGATTACATTTCAAATGGCCAAAATACTTTAGGAGCGTTTGAGTTTTGGCTGCTGTGCACAGTTGGTCAGACAGACTGTCCCTGAAATAAAACAGCAGTTTGTTTGATTCCTACGAGCCGCCGATCTGCGTCCCACCGCAACCCACAACATCTGATTGATTTGAAATCTGCAGGATATCAAGGACTAGTGTGGGAAACTTTCTTGAAGGCAAAGTGCCAGGGATTGAAATAGATTATCATGTTTCTAGATTGCCTGCCTGTCATCTAGTGCATGCTGGGACACGCTCCAATTCACTGCAAACCTGTTACTAGAACAACTACAACCAGAATTTTGTTGTGTGACATTAGCAGGTTGCAGAAACAAACATTTAATATAAAAAAATGCACCCATAGTTAACTTAATATAAACTTTTTAGTGCCAGCATAAAAACTCGTTGACATTTTAAGTCATCTAAGTATTTATAAAAAAATGTGTGGATGTGTACGTTACAAACTAAATTTGAATGTATCATTATTAATCAGGATTTCTAGTGTTGAGTATTTGAGGGGTAAAACCTTTCTTCGTTTTCTCTCACTTTTTGTTCTAAAATAAAAAAAAAGAAGATGTGGTTTCAAATCACATCTCCAACTTTTGGAAATCTAGTTTGGTCTAGAAATGATCAGTAAGGGCAGAACGTCAACTTCAGAGAGGCAAACATTTCAGTCAGTTTCAGATGTTTGTCAGGTAAATGGTCAAACAGAAGTATCTTGCCATTTATAAAAACAATGTAAAATCAACCAACTAACCTCAAATTGGCCTTTGATTTTACAAACACAGTTCACTGCTGCATCACCCTCCAAACCTGTGTCTGAGTGCATCAAAAGTGAATGTCTGTGCATTAAATTTACTGTGTGAATAAACTGCTTCTCCCGCTAAACTGTCTCAAATTTAAAACCATGCTCCCTGATCATTTTAATTAACTAACCTTCTGTTTTTAATCTTCCTTCCCCTCCATAAAGGTGTCTCCCCACCCAGCAACACACCACTCACTACCAGCTGTGACCCCCCTGGACTGGGCTGCCCAGGTAGGGAAAACAAACACACTTCCACTGTGGATACTGACATTGGAACTGGTGGCAAAAAAGGCTGATAATAACTGCACCTTTTCTGATTCATCACCTAACATAATTTGGGCGTTATTTTCTTCCTCTTTCCCTTTGTGACAAACTAAGAAGTATAATCATGTTTCATGTTCCTCCTCTAACCAATAATCACAGGTCAAGAGACATGTAGACGTCTAGGTTAAATCTGTGTGTAAAAATGTGTTGCCTAGATATCTATGGTCACTGTTGTTGGTTTAGTTGACACTTTTTACAAAATCCTATGGAACTTATTGTATGAACGATGAGTTATTCGTCCTTGATAGACCAACATGGGGACAGTAGGTCATGCTGCAGTTTACTTAACCTGATGTCTTTAATGATTAACAGCTTTCTCACCGGCCTAATCAAATCAAACCAGGCAGGCAAATGCACCAGTTACATCAAACCAAGTCAAACGCATTTGGTGTAAAAAAAGCACCTTAAAGTACTTTTATCTTTTCAAATTGATCTAGCTGACTTTTAACCAAGTTGTCTGGATGTTTTTAATCTCCTTTCTTCCATTTGTTCTTCATCCATCTGTCATCAGTATTGCAGACTGTCAAATATTTATTGAACTACTACTACCACTAATCATTGCACCTTCTGGCAGGTTGGGGATTGATTCTTCCTATTTAGTCTTTGGGAATTCCATGTCTAAGTCGAACAGAATCTTTAAGGTAATTTTGGTGAAAAGGGTTACCCAAAGCACCTTCATTGTTGTCATGGCGTGACCCTGAACCCTGGCAGTGTTCATACCTTGAATTATCCACTGCAGTACACAGGGTGTGAAACTCCTAACCCACTGCCAGGAATGCTAGGTAAGTTTTTCCTTGATGACCACATACAACAGAAGCCCCAAACATATTGAAGCCTCTGAAATACTGTCAAAGGATGTTGGAGGGAGGAAAAGGCAAAATGAAAGACGGGATTGAGAAGAGGAAGAAGGTATTAGAAATACGAGCAGTGAAGAGATCAGAAAATTGGTTGAACAAAAGTTGCATTTGGTGCTCTGGTCAAAGCTCAAATGATGGAAACCATGTAGAAAACCTGATGAAAATCAGACATTTCTCTTTGTTTTATGTATTAATGCGAAGATTCCAGTCTCCTCTTCATTGCTCCACATGTATCTGATGTGTTCCTCTCTTCATATTTCATGTACATCAGCATTTCTTCATTAAGTCTTTTCCCATTACAGTTTTTTGTCTATTGTTATAACAACTTTTCCACTTCAGCAATTCTTAAAACCTTTTATGGATACTGTATTTCAATATTTTTGAATATTTAAACGCATGGCTTTATGCACAATTTAAAAATGTGCAGGGTAACGTGGAACCACACTTAAAAATGATAACATTTTGTTAAGCCATTTGATTTGCAATTTTTGGCTTTACAAATAAAATTGACGTGGCTTGAGAACAGGAGAAAAGAGTGGAGAGGGAGGACAGGAATTTACAGGAAATTAGTTCAAATGAAGAAATTCTTGAAAAGGACACAGATGCTCCACTCTGCTCGCTCTGAGCTACCCCTTCTTCAACAGTTTAAGTGTTTACAAATGATACAAAATGTGAAAAAGGTTGTAAGAAGTTACCCTCTGCTCACTCTGACCAAACAATCTGGAAAAGAATCTCTTCAGGTATGTTCTGTTAATGACATTTTCCTTAAATGACCCGTTGACATTCCTGAGAGGAACTTACATGGAGGAACTAAAGTCTTTAAAAAAAGAACACTCAAGGGTGCTCTTCAGCTGTAGCAACGAGTCCCTTAGCACCAAGCCAGAACCATTAAAACCAGAGTACTGTCCATGCACAGACCATGGCCTAAAGAAAACTCGACTGCAGCCAATCGCCTTTGTTCCAGGAGGTCATATGATCTAGAATTGAGCAGGACTCTGTGAGAAAAATAGCTGAGGGCCAGCTGACGACGTGACCCAACCCCACTCCCTAAATGTCAGTTCTCACAGTATCCAGAGGCATCCCTCTGGATGCCTCAGTGGGACATTTTTCTAAAGGTTAGTTTTTGTGGGGTTGTGCTCATGAGAGGAATGAAGTTTGGCCAATTAAGCTACAGCTTCCAGAATATAATGACTACAGCAGACCCGGCAGGTCATCAGGCCATGGGAGAGCAAGAACAAGGGTTCAACGTTAAATCCTTCAACTAGGTTGGTCTCTAGAGCACAGGGTCGGGCAAAGAGCAGCACTCCCGCAGCAGGTAGGAAGTCAGGTGTCATGGTCCTTTGAATGAATGCCAGGCTGTGTAGCCATTAGCCACCAGGACACCTCAAACCCTGGTGAGAACAGGTGTGCTTCAGAAAACACAGCCTTCACCAAGGTGGAACCACCTAGGAAAGGTAATTCTTTTTATTACAACAGACAATGGGTTGAAGTGGACAAAGTCAAACACAACCACCAATCACGAGGTGACTGAGGTTTGAAGCATTTCCCTATTGTTCAGACAAATTTGTATGACTTAACTATCTACATATCAATGAAGCACATACATGACATTTTTCTTCTACTTTTACTTTTGACTTCCACTGGAACAGGCAACTGTGGTTCATTAACATAAAAGTATCATTGTTGACTTGCCATATTTTGGCCTAAAAACATTCTCCAGCCTGATTTAGATCTGGAAATACAAGTTGGATTCTGGACACCATTGTGTTTTTGTAGTTGTAGAAGCTCACTGATGGGCACTTCTTGGTCAAATGATGCAACTTAATTAAAGTTTGTGAATCACAGAGGAGTAACAACATCTTTGTTCACCAACACCTAATTAATAAGTCTAACTGCAACATTTAGCTCAAGTCTACACAATTCTTGTTCTCAATAACAATTCTTAGTCACCGGCAGCTCACATGGGTCAGGAAGAAAACGTCTCACACTCTTTGTTTCTCTTTATTTCTGCATAAATGGAACTAATCTTAATACAGCAGGACAAAATGTACCAGGTGATCATCTTCCCATCCCGTTACCCTAACTCAGGAATCACTTTGCTGGTTGTCTTCATGACCTTATTTAAGTGCAAAAGGTCTTGGCCCAAAGTTTTATCTTTCCTCAAACCCTGTAGTGCCCAGAATTTTAGAGGCAGAGAACTCTCACACAAAATGTGTGTGAAGATTGTCAGTCGTCCAGGTCATGAGATTTCCAGAAGTGCTAAGTCACAGCCAAGTGGACTTGCTGTTGAATTCTTGAAGATCTCTCTCACCCAAATTGCTTGGAATCAGTTTTACAAGAAGTCACACATGTGGCTGAATAAGCCATATGTGACCTCAATGATGCTGAAGGTATGAACATCTTCCGCCTTCACTACAACTCAAGGTGGTTGTATGATTAAAGAGTTGGTCGAATGAGGGTTAAATACTATGCACTGACAATATAATACTATGGGCCTGATTTACTAAAGCTTTGCGTGCGTAAAAACGTGCGCAAACGCGACAGCACGCGCAAACACATGTTGATGCTGATCTACCAACCGGGCGCACCGAGGATTGCGTCTGTCAGTCGGGCAAAATAACACGCGCTATCCATTTTGCGCTTCTGCCTTCATGAATATGCAATATAGACGTGCATGCCAGAACGCGCAAAATATCGGGAGGAGTAGATGCAAATAGATTCATTTTGCTCACGCAATGAGATTTACCAAACCTCAAACTAATTGCGCTGATTATTTTTGCGAATATATTTAGCACGTTTGAGAGTAAAGTCTTAGGCTACCTGGCACAGCCGTGCGCACAGATGGCTGCGGTCATTGTTGCAAGGAGGCGGCGTAGGCACGACAGGCAACGGAGAGAACGCATCTTTTCTGTTCGTGTCACTCTTTTTGGGATGGCAGAAGAAAAAAATAATCGAGACATATCGGTTATCCGGCGATGCAAAACAAAAAAAGTCATTCGTTCAGAGTTCAGAAAATCCTTAAATAATAAATGTTGCATCATAATGTCAAGTGTTTCTTGTTTGTGCTATTTTGACAAAACCAAAAACTCACATTTTTATGTACTAAAGCCCACTTTCTTTTAGACATAGGAAACATTTAGTTCGGCCCAGTTCCTGTCATTTTTTCCTGAAACTTAAAACAAATGAAAACGCACACACTTCTGTGCCCCTGCTGGAACGCACAAACAAAAAAACCCTTTTGGCAATTACGCTTTTCCATTGCACAGCTAAAGAACGTTCATGACGCACGTTCATGTCTTATGTGGTGTACCTGAATGAATTAAAAATATTCCCTCTATCCCAGTAATCTGCTCATCACAGAACGTCAGCTGCACCTGCTGTTCAGTGGGAGACAGAGGGTCCTCCTCCGCCGGTCCCCCACCTGTTTTATTTGACGATTTTTCTTATTCTGTGCGATTTTTTCCTTTGTTCTTCTACGAATGTCTTGCCACCTTTTCTTCATTTCATCCGGTGTTCTTTTGGTTTTCCCCACAGCATTAACCTTGTCACAGATTGCTTCCCATATTGCGTTCCTCCTAATAACGGTTAAATTCCTTTGCTATAACTCAGAAATGTGCTTGTTTGCCTCTTGTACCAGCACCTCCAATTCCGGTCCAATTGGATCTGCTCGTTTGCATTCGCCACGGTGAACCCCTTAACTCGCGCAAAATCCTAATTTAAATAGGACCGGCTTGATCACTTTTGCGCCTGTAGTCAACTGCGCTGTTAATCTAAGTAAATCACTCGCAAGGCCCAAACAGGCAGCGTGCGCAATCTATCCGTGTGCGCACGCAATTTAGCGCTCTTTATTTGGGATCTTGGTAAATCAGGCCCTATGTGTATTAAGTCTGGGTTTAATGACCTTTAACAATCATATTTGCTTCCATGTGCAGTGCCAAGTCAAATATGTATCTGAGCTTGTGACATGAACGCAGCATTAGATGCCTACAGCAAGTCCACTTGCCAACCTGCAGTAATGATTTTACTGTATACCCCGACCTCATACTGTTC